TAGAGTCAAATAAGGTGGGATAGTTTACGAGCGAGTTTAACAGACATGTCTCGACGGCTTCGGTTTTAATTACGTTAGAGTTGAAGCTGACTAGGCCTTCCTACGATTATTACAACATCCACCTTAAATATCTAGAATAGTTCTTTTTTATTAATTTATTTAATATGTATAGAGTAGATTAGTAATATGTGTATTGGAATGTATAGACATCGATTACTAGAGACTTAATGACACTCTTTGATTGAATATTCATTTTGGGTGAATATTTACACATGCCATAAAGTTGATTTGATCGTTTCTGTAATAAATTTACAAGATTAATAATTTATTAAATGTTACAAATATTAAAAATGCGAATGTATGGATGTAAGGATGGATGTTTGCTAGGAGGTATTTGTAGAACGGCTCAATTTTTCTCAATGAAATTTGGCATAGATGTAGATCTTAGCCTAAGAGAACACATATATTACTAATTAAGATTTTTTTTAATGGAGCGCGGACGGAGTCGCAGGCGACAGTTAGTGTGTAATTAAATAATGTATTATATAATAATGAAAAGAAAAAAAAATGACTAATAACAGAAAAATAAAAAATAAAAAAATGAACGAAAAAGGTCAAATTCAATTTGGCACACGGCGTACTGGCCACGTAACCCCGTGGTTGGTGCTGCGGCAATGTTCATCTTGTGTTCAAGATTTTATCGCAAGTCAAAACTCTGAGAAATAATATGTTTATAAGGGTAAATTTACATGTAATATATTTCTTATTATCGTATTGTATATAGATAAATGATAATTATTATTAATTATCTGCGATTGATCGAAGATTATAATATAATCTAATTAAATTTGGCTGTTATTAAGCTATCGTCTTTCAAATTTTCAACGACTATGTTAATGAATTTAATGATTAAAAACGATAGATAACAAAATATCATATATGGTCAAATCAATCTCTTAAGAGCTGTATTTTTACGATATTTGTACGAACAGAGGGTATTATATTTGTTCTTAGTAGTTCTAGCTTAACCTATTTTATAGCTAGAAAATTGTATCAGAGACCTATTTTAACGCTTTGTTATTGGTGAATTTATAGAACAAAGTACAATAACTTAAATATTGAGCTCACGTGGACAAAAGCTACGAGTTTACAAAAACATTTCGACGCCGACCCTACTTTTATATCGAATTCAAACAAACTATTTCATTTTGCGACCTTAAATGTTATTCACTATGATATTCGACATTCAATTGTCATGTGAAATAAAAAATTGAACAAAGAACACATAACAAAAGTATGCAGAATTCTAAGTAATTAAACTATGTGCTAAGAATAGTAATTACAGAGTGAAACTTTTACGGAATTTGCGACGAAGATAAAAGTATAAGGTTACCGGGATCTCGTTTTATTGCGCGAACTTTAAATCATAAATTACAATGAAATTGTGAAAAGTTCTGGATGCCACTTCCAGTCTAATTTTGTGTTTGATTCGGATTCCCCTTCCCCTGCGTCCGCACATCCCCTCCCCTTTGCCATCGTATCTCGGGGCGATGGATAACTTTACATTGGGTACCATTTGGTGCCGATCTCGCACAGTGTGACTTATCGGCAAGTTTAAGAGCAATATATCAAAGTAATCGGTTTAATTTCTCATTTCCCTGTTGGGAATAAGTTATGGTTCATCTTGACTGATGCCCTTTTGATTTGTGATGTATCAGAGGAAGGAGGAAGTAGTTTTCCCGCTTTTATCAGTTAAGTATAATAATTGAAAATAGCGATCGTTGAAATAATCAATAAGCTCGACGGGTACAATGACAATACATAGTACCCGACTAACAGTGGGAAATAATAGCTTTAGAATGTAAAAAGGCAAAGTATTTATCTTACTAATATTATGAAGAAAAATGTTTAGATGAATAGATGGATCGATAGATGGATGTTTGTTTGAAGGTATCTCCGGAACGGCTAAACGGATCTCGCTAAATTTGGCATAGATGTAGAACATAGTCTGGAAGAACACATAAGCTACATTTTTAATCCCGAACGTACGGAGTCGCGGGCGACAGCTAGTTACTTTATAAAAATGAATAGTCTTACCTCCTCTAACCTCACAGATCAATACTAATTCATTTCCTTCCTCCAATGGTCCGACAACACCTGACACGTCTCTGCCTGACTTGTCGTACAAAATGAGCTGATGTGGGGGCACTGAAACAACATTGTTAAAGTTAATTGTTTTAAAAAGAAGAATAGTTCTTATAAATGCTCTTTCCCTTCCCACCCTTTTCTTATAAGGAAAGGATGAGATAGGGAAGTGGATTTGAATGAGAAGAAGACGCGTAGTAAGGGGATGTATACACTTTCTGTGCTTTTCTTCCTCCGTCGATAAAAAATATCTGCAATTGTGGATATTTTTGAGCAGTATTTGTTTCGCCATTTTGAATTCAGGAGGCCGCTTGCTCGTTTGCCACCTTATAATAAAAAAAAATGATTTTTATCTTTCTCATGTTATAGCGTTATCATCGAAACTGTTAACAAAAGACAACCGAAAAAAGTTTAAGAATCATACAAATTGACTACATATTATATAATACAGATTTTAATCTTAAACACATTGATATAAGTGAGGTAGAAGTGTGGGAATCGTAATATCGTACAACCTCCGTCCCAACTAAAGGACAAGAATTGCCTACGACGGGTCGCCTATTAGTTGTAAATGCTTTTGTACTCGTACATACCGCGCTACGAAGCCCTTCGACATTATGTACTATCGTGTAAGCAATTGAATAATTCAGCATTGTATAGAAATACAAAAGGATTTCCGTATCGCTCCCATCTTGAAAAGGGTTATAAGTTGTATTGAATAAAAAGAAGGGAAACTTTACTAAAATACTTATGCAATGAGGATAACATCCATTATAAATATTTTACGCGTAAATATTATTTGGGTCTTTGTGTAAATCTATGCATGTAAATTATCTTTTATCGAGCAGCCAAAATAATGTACAAAATTTCTTTTATTATAAGTAGGGAAATATTAAAAATTATACTTAGAAATTCAACCAGTAACGTAGAAAGGGCGTATTACCGAACTATGCTACACCTAATCCGCTAAAGATATAAATGTAATTTTCAGAATATCTACATAAATATATTAGACCAACTTTGTAGAAGGGAGAGAGGGTATGTAAGACGAAATGTAAATAAACCTATAGGACCTGTGTTATACAAGTAGACCACGTAATTATTACCGTTATTTTTGTTAAAAAAACAAATTTGTTTTCTGTGTTTGTCAAGACGCATTGACAATATATTTTATTTTTGTTCATGTCTTGGCTGTGTAAAAAACAAAGCTGACATTTTTATAACAACATCTTATAAAAACGAATCAAATATTCGTTAGATAATATTAATGTATATAATTTTAATAAATATCACGGTCAATTCATCACTACGGCGACGTCGAAGTGCCTAACAAGGGTTTGATGTAGCGATAAAGCGAACAGCTTAGATTACAACCGAAATTATGGCTTTTGAATTATGCATTAACTCTGAGGCGGCGGGAGTTGTAAAGTTTGGTCTCGGAAGTGAAAACTCAGTAAATCGGTCAGAATTTATTTAAATAATATTACAAAAACACTAAATAATGCTCTTCGATGATTCATGTTTCATTACATCTCAATTTTAATGACATATTTAAGAACAGTTCGCTTAAAAGTGCAATTGACTAAGCATTATAACAGAATTGTTATTCTACGAAGTATTACGTATTACAACAGTGTGAACACGACAATAATTTAACGTTCAATAATAAAATCATATCATTTTATTTAACAATAATATTTAACGGAATAAATTTCGCGTTTCGTCTGATGAGTGTGGTAACGGAAGCCTAATTTTAGTCCTTTATGCCTTCCCAATATTTTTCTTATAAGTAATGAATGGGAAGTGAAATTTAATTTTCCGGATGATTAGTAGGAAGGGAAAAGATTATCTTTCTGTGTATCCCCTCCTCCGTCGATAAAAGGTAGGGGACGGTCGTTACGCTATTTCACCGATTCTGGTATATGTTGGTAAACGAGTTGGCCGCTCGCTCGTTTGCCGCCTTATAATATTTTATAAAAAAAAAACAACAAACTTCATATTTTATCAAATTGTTCGACATTAAGCGAAGAATGTAAAATGTATAAGGTTGGTACGAAATCTGTTTGAATAATTGAAAGTAAGATTCAATGTTCGTCAGCTCATTTCTTATAAGAAGGGATCAATACCCGCTCTCAGCTGTTCGCTGCTAACTTGTTTCATTAAATTCAAATTTCGTGTTATACTTATTAATTCAGGCGGGCGTTTTCTTCGCACGTCTCAGCTACGGCGGCTGCTTTTTATATTCTTATCGTCTCCGCTTCCAGTGTCGAAAGTTTTTTTGTGAATTTCAAACATTTCAAGAAGTATTTTGTCGTTGCGTTTATATTAATTGTAACGTTTGGAATGATTTGTTTTTATCAAGTTGTTTATTTTTTTAAATTTCATTCTGTAGATTTTTCAATATTGTTTTTAAGTAGATTAAGTTCGAAAGCACACAATCTATCTATCTAAGTATAGCACTAACTGATAAATGTTTGTGAATTCAAAATATTTATTTTGTTAATACAACATTGAAATTGTAACTATAGGTAAAACAAGTATAGTGATTATAACTATAGTTGCTTATTTAGTACATAAACTGTACATAATCGCTTTAGTAATTCTCTTGGTATAGAACAGTACCTGGCCGATGACTTATGCTTACAAAATACCGCAGCAAGCCCCCACTTAACCGTTACTTATTGCTTCACTTAACTCAAAACCCTAGCAAAGTATTGCTAACGGAAGTACGCCGCTGAGCGAGGACGTACCTAGGTCGTAACACATGAATTACAGGCTGATACAAATTACTTTATTCACTTTGCCGATGCCAAACATGTAGTTTATTTTGTAATAGATTTATGTCAAAGATAAAGCAGTAAGGTATTATTTTATTTAATCATTTAATATTGTTAGGAAAAACAAAAAACAATGAATTCTTTCGAAAACTATAGGTTTAATGAAGGTATATCATAAAATTGTAATAATAATAATACTTATTGTTTTTTTTTGTTATTTAGATGTAATATTTCTTATATCTTATTTAATGATTGGATTAGTTCATTATATCAAAAGAAAACTAATTAATACAGTAGTAAAAAAAAGTCAACATACTGTAATGTTAGAATGATTGTGGTTGTAAATTAAAACACTAATGTAAGTATGTAGTGACTTAATAACGAAATATAATTTCCATTTAAAACATAGTCTGAATATCAGAAATAAAATGTACACAGCACACCACTAGTCCCCCGGGGCGTAGCTCGTTTACATTTTAAAATTCCGCGATAAACACGTGTAGATAGTGCAAACCTAATAAATTTTATAGCCATGCAAAGTGGGCCGACTTATATCAAGAATTACTATAATAATTATTTTCTAATTCAAATTATTTAAATTATTACATTTTGAACATTTTTGAACATCCCTTTTTAGAGTGACAGTTGGTATATTATATATACAGCGTGAGACATGTTTCCTAGCTTTTTTTCAAAACGAAACATCCTTGTAATCCTGTCCTTCTCCCTGCAGACATTAAATTAAAACCTACTATATCTAACTTTTATATGTGTAAGTATTCTAGTATATTCATAGTATAATTTATTGACTATTATTTTGAGTTCGCTCGTTGACTTTTTGTGATGGCAACACTGCTCCTCAAGACGTAATATTGCTGTATATTATTGTAATAACACTCTCGAGCTTCTTTGAAGGAAACTAAGGTCGTATATAACCTCTCATTTTCCGTACCGAAAATTCAAAGGAGCTTCAACAAAGCTTTGTTTTGCATCGCTCGCTAGACGAAAGCCACTGAAAGGCTGCCTTTTTAGATAAGGTTCTCTTATTCAGGGGATGGAATAGATTTTACGAGTTAAAATTGTTCGGCAATCGAATAGGCCGCATCGACCATTGTCTTTTACGTAAAATTCTAGATTTTCTTACGTGGCTCGTATACGATATTATGGTACCACTTACTGAAAACTTGTTATATAGGCATTCTTAATACATAGAATTATATACATTGTACTTATTCTTATGAATATGAGAAATTTTCACTTACAAAAGTTCGAATTTGTGTTAATAATTCATAATATTCTCGACAACTTTACTTACACTTTACTAATGTGATGCCGTGCCTAGTTCATCTTTTTTTTATTTACAATAAGTAGAAAAAAAATCAAATTCATGGTTTTTTTATATCTATTAAATAATAACTTACCAATAACAGTTAATCTTATTTGAAAGTTCCGGGTTGGTGAGTTCTTGAAGTCGACCCGACATCTGTAGATTCCTTCGTCGTCAAGTTGTACCGTGTCTAGCGTGAGAACAGCCGGCCGAGCCACGGTCACGAAGTAAGCTCGTGGTCCAAACACGTTCGGGTCAGACCATTGCAACGCCTTGTCGAACGAACGACCGCGAACGTCGAAACTGTGAACAGATGCTCTGCTGTTTTATATGTTTAAGCTAAATTATACATGAAAAGAAAACATGGAAAGCTATGAATATTATCAAAGTATATCACACAAAATAGTGTATTTTTTATATTATATAAAAAAAAAACAAATTTAAATAAAACAAAACTGATTTTCTTAGTACTTGCATGTCATATACAAGAATCGTTACGTAACTTAACTTATAAATAAAATCGTTAATCCAACTGTTGGTTCAAAGAACCTTCATTTTCCTTTTCAGCTAAACAGTCCCTAAACAAATAACATTCGAACTAATGTCGAGGTAAATATGAAACACGAGGTCGGGACCGACAAAAATGGCGGATTGATTTACCGAACAAACTACCGCTCCATAGCCAGAACAAATGAATTGATTTAGACGTTGTTATTACTGACGATGTTTCAGGAATAATTATTATTAAGAATAGTGGGAATAACAAATATAATAACTATTAGTTTTTTGGTAATTCGAATTTCGATTAAATAAAAAATAGTTTGTTAAGTAATTATCACTATCATTCTAGATTTATATTGGCCTTTTTAAATTACTATAATATACAGCCGAAATTAATATTCGAGACTGATTTTTTTTTGCGTTTCCTCGGTGCGTTCATTTTATCCATAATAAATAAAAAAATTAGGATTTATCGCAAGGATCGAATATTGACTTTTGTTCTAAGCATAACTTATCTAGAAGCTAGCCTAGAAGACTCTAGCTTGACATAAAACATTTTGGTTGTGGTGGTGCAGATGAGTTGTGGTTCGTCATATTTTATGACGAACTGTATTGTGGATTTTCGCGGTTCGACTATACAGACGTAACGTAGGTAGCATGATACATTTTTATTCTCCCCATAAAACTGGGTAGTTGAAAATCTCACACCGCTACAGTCTGGCGTGGGTCCTGCGAGGTTTTGTGCCGGGAAGAAAGTCGGCAGAGTGGAGAGTTAGCATTAGATAGACGTCGGAAGTTAGATGGATAGAGTTATCCATCGGACGTGTGGGTTTCATAGCGTACATGGTCGCTAATGTTTAGGGTTTCGCGTTTGACGACGCGACTATCGAGTACATCAAAAGGACAGCATCTCTGGATACTTTAGACAATTTGACAGTGATTAGATTGACACCGACCAAGTGACCAGGCACATACAGACTGTGAATGGGGCATCGAGTTGGTAAGTGCCTCTTCATCTATCTACGATATTATGTCTTTGCAATACGTAGACCAAGGTGAATTGTGCCTTGGGACACGAGTGTAGTTGAACTATTTATTGAACTAACGTAAAGTGTAAATGTACAACATAACGAAAGAAATATTTACTACAATGATAACGTGGCGTAGAAATATTAAAGGTACATTTAGTACGAGCGTCGGGGAGGAACCACGCCTAATGCGTGAACCTTATTGATTGTACGACATTAGACGTTCCACTGTATACGGCTATATAACGCTATGAAATATTACAAGGAAAACTCTACAAAAATGTAGTGTTTCGAATCAGAAAGACTTCGAAATAATCAATATGGTAATAATGTTATAAAATTCATAGTAATTAGGTAAATTAATTATGAATAAGCCACGTTTCACATGAATAATTACATTGCAATGACATATGTTAGTAATTCTGATGTATTATAACAAATAAAATAATTATTTTTTTGTTTTTAAATTTGAATAATTAACTCCATGTCTTTTATATCGACTAAGCAACAGGATACAATTAATTCTTCTCGTCTTTGTACTTTGTATATAAAAACACGAAAGTAACGTAAACTATCGTGTTGTGTAAAGAACTTTTTGGTGAATGAATGTTTAAAATTGCTTTTATAGAACTAGAATAGTTGAGTTTCTCGGATACAATCCAATCAAATTTCCCTATACAATATTGATAAATGTGTACTTCAAAACTATGGATTTTCTGTTTACATGCGTAGAGCCTAACCATAAAAACCATAGTGTTCCAATTAAAATTTAATTTTAATATATGTCAACCCTTGTAACGCTGATATGTGACATTATCAGACATAATGATAATTGGTAGGCTTCCGAAACACGAATTAGAAAAAATAAGAAAGTACTTATAACGTAAACAATTTCGGTGATACGTTTTTATCAATCGTCGGCGGTAAAAAGGTTAAAGGACATGGCATCTCTGTTTTTTTTAAATAATTAAGATGTTTGTTTTTGTACGTGTTTAGACAATAGAAACATACCGTAGTAGTGACATTATACCTGTATATAGGTTTTCCCCCAGTGATCTTGCCTGCTCGGAACCAGAGCACCATGTAGACACGGTCCTCGGCAGCATCAGGCGTGACGTCACACGGCAGGCCGGCTGTACGACCCAATACCGCGTCTACGTCCACCGTTGACACTGTAAAACAACTATTATTAGTTCTATACTTCTAATGATACTAGAATTATTTTATAAGTTATTTTCAAATTAATTAATAAATGAATCGGAAATATGGAGGACATATAATCATACACTTCGGAGTAATAGCACCGTAAAATACCGGATTTGTTCAGAGGTTCTTCTTCGAGGTCAGTGACCTCATGATATTTTGAGTTAGCTTCATCAGTTCTAATTTATTAATACCTAATATTGATAAAATTAAATACATTTATTAACATTGAGTTTTTTAAATTTCGAATATCGTTATCGTCAATTTATGAAAGAAATAAAATTCATCATTACGGTCAATGGCATCATTAAAAAGTTTTATATCAATCAATCAACTGTATTCAATAATTCGAAGAATTTCATTGAAAATTGTGCATTACGTGCTTACAAAGTCGAATGAAATGTAGACTCACAATTAAACGCTGCATGTAACGTGAAATACTTAATACATTCACGTAAAACGTTCAGCATTCGACTTTGCAAAGAATATAAAGGGTGTTTTTATTTTATTTCTACAGCGTTAAGGTTCTTAGCTTTCCTTCCACAAGAGAATAAAAGAGTATGAAAATAAATAGCTGTAATATTAAATGTACTGCAGCGGCACCGCATGAAATAATCTTCTTTTCTTACGGCGTTACTGTCACCGTCTTGAGGCCAAGTAATACAGGCCATCAGTCATGCTTAGTGGGGAAATTTCAATTTACCCGCGAATGAGACCAACCAAATTGAGACGGATTATTCAGCCTGGTTAGTTAATGTGTTAAATTTTTTTTCTATGGTAAAAAAAGTTAAATGCAAATTCCTGCTACTTTAATTGTAATGATAATACTGGCAGTCATCCGCGACTCTCGAAATTAAAATAAAAAACATAATAGCTTATGCGTTCTTTTAGACTATCTTCTACATTCATGCCAAATTACAGCGATGTTACTTTACCTTAGTTCTGAAAATGCCTATTAGCTTCCATTTATGAAAGTAAACTTTTGCATTTATAATTATTTATTATTATTATTTTAAAAACGCAATAGTAATGTATATTGAAATGCATATCGAATCATATCATAGTTCAAAAAACAAATTTGTATAAAATAAGCAATTTTAAAACAATTAGGCGACGAATATTTCAACAGAATTAGACTGCAGGTAAACTGTCTTCTAATTTGTTACATTCATAAGCAAAGTGTGCTCTCAGGAAAAGTGTGTAATTTGATGAAAAAGTGAAATAGACAAGCATGTAAGAAAAAGAAATTCTTATCAGATGCTTGCTTGATATGTACCGCAGCTTCCCGCCGTTAAGATAAGGGTAAAGAAATGAAGCTTGTAATCAGGCCCTTCTATTTGTTTAGATGTTACAAAAATATATTTTTTTTAGAAAATTTCAACAAACGTTCTCATTTTATGAAATCGCTAGATGTCGCCCGCGTCTCCGCCTGTGTGTAAAAAATTAATGAGTAGTCTGTGTGTGTGTGTGTTTTTTTTTGTGACTGATTGCCACTGTCTGCCTTTAGGTGGCATTTACACCTTCACCGGGCTTGAGGTGACCGAGCGCAGATGGCACTTAGCCTAAACCTCGTTTAAGAGTAACTAAGCTCGAGGGCTCCCTCAGGAACCACGGCTCGGGCCGTTACTAGTCTGTGTGTTCTTCCAGACTACGTTTTATATCTATGCCAAATTTCATCAAGACCCGTTGAGACGTATCGGAGATACCTTCTCACAAACATCCATCCTTACTTATTAAAAGTAAGATTATTTTTTATTCAATTTCACGTTTAAACAAGGAAATTAATTCTTAATAGTGTATTTCAATTTCTAAGACGTTAAGAATTTTTTTGTGGTCGAATAAAAACAAGTATGCTACTCTAAATGACAATAAGAACGTTAATTCCTTCCCGTTGTTGTAAAAAGTAGCTTTTATGCGTCGTTCTCACAATATATCATATTTTTTGTGTCGCCTTGAAGAAATACGAGGGGTGGTTGCGCGCGTGACAGGCTTGAGGGAGTAATATTAATAAAATTATTGTAAAGACACGTAGCGAGCGAGCCTGACCTAGTCATCACATGCGCGGCTCTGAGCCTGCTAAACAGCTATGCATTACATTATTGTCCTCGGAGACAACGGCCGTACGCATACAAATATTCGCTTCGGATTGTGTTCATGGTACGATTGTGTTAGGGAAATGCTAAAACAGTAGTAAGATGTTTTATTTTACAAATATAATATATTTTAATATAAAACTTTATAACAGATCTAGCTGCCGCTCGCGACTCCGTCCGGGCGGTATAAAAAAACTTAATAAGCAGTCTATGTGTCTTGTATACATTGAACCGTTCTGTAGCTACCTTCTAACAATCCTCCTTCCATCCAAACCCTTGCATTAATAATATTAGTAAAATGTGGCAAAAAGAGTATAGCAATTCTGCTTCTTCTAATTTTAATTTTATCGTGAAAAATAATTTAATTATTATTATTTTTATGGAAGAATGTATAACGATTACGTTTACATGATATTCAATGTCTACCGCTAAATATAGGCAAAAACAAATGATATGTACTGGTAATCATTCTCAACCATATTAGACTGTACCGTACCGATATGTAATATCGAACATTGTAGCGTTTTAATTAAATTACTTAATATTTAATTTACCAATGATGTACATCGCTTGCTTCGCCTCCATGTTCCTTAATTTCATTCAACAGTGAAACATCCGTCGAACGCGCAACCACAAAAGGCCGGTCTAACATTGTCGAATGACTATCGTTTTCCATTTGTTCCGCTGTCCAGAAAATTTTGCAATAAAATTAATCGTTCAATAAAATTGGAGCCCGAACTGAACCGCTCACGCGTTAACACTCTTAATTGGACATCACTTTTTCTACTTTTTTTGTTTTTAATTTCAAATTATGTAACTAAATTAAAGAAGGCTTAATGGTAGGTAACCTAGAAACGTTGAGATTTCTTTATCAATAAAAATAAACAAACACAAACGGCATATCATTATATCCATACTGAAAGTAAATCGCAATCACTTGTGTTAAAACCCTTATATAGATATTTCAAAAATTATATAGAAATTTCTGTTACATATGTAATGTGCCTAGTAGTTACTTCTTGTTACCTTTACTTAATATGTCAATCTCATCTACGTTCTAGTTTTTTCTAGACCGTGTAAATGCCAATGAGCCAATAAAATTTAATAATAACTAGTAAATAAGTACTGTAGGTCTAGCACGAATATTTTTTACAATCGTCATAGTATCGTAATCGACAAAATTTGGTTTAAATTTGTGCAGCGCTCTCAGACGTAACATCAAATCATATTAATTTTGTCGTAAAAGACACGCTAGGCCCACTGTACGAACGAGATTTTAAAGGCAAATTTAAGAAGACCAATCAACGTCAGTCATAGATGAACATCTTTTTTTATAACGTACGAGTAACGGGAACACTGAGGTGACCAGCAAAAACCATGGACAATATAATTAAATAAATGCTAATTGATTTCTGACTTGTCATATAGCTTACCCTGTAGGGGAAAGTGTGTGAAACGAAATGTTATGTACATATATAGTACATATGTTTTGTTCAAATTATTTGTTACATATTGCTCAATTACGTATGTTAAATTCAAATGAGATTATATTTATTAACTAGGAAGCCAATTTATTTGCACCCCGTGGCTATATAAAACGCTCCAATCAAACTGAGCAAATGCATAAACCTAACGCAATTCTCAATAGATTACAAAATAAAATTGCAGTTGGAAACAAAAATTAGCGCACGAGAATAAAATGCACACGTATTTTTCCAGATGAAACAATATTACGGTTTGAATGAAATTTTTACTTGAATTTCTTTTATTTTAAATTTGTGATGGAAGAAAAATACTGGCAGTTAATAATTCTTAGCTGTAAGAGATGAAGAGTAGACTAATTGTGTTTTTTTACATCTATGGCACTGAAATCTGGTAAATATTATGTTTGATATGATCATAAAACTTATAAAGTAAGCTATTAATATATTAATTTTATAATGACAATTTTTTTTCTAATTGATACATTTTTTCTATATGACCAATCTCGTCCATTTTTCAAATCTTTCATTGGAAAATTTTAACCTATAATTTTTATACCTTTCAAGTTAATTAATTCTTATTCTTAATTCAAAATTGCAAAATATAATACATGTTGCTAATGATATTTAATTCTTCTTTTATCTGACGCCCTAGTGATGAAGTTTAAACGAAGAAATTTAAAGTTCTTACCTAAATCCTCTGCGTCTTCACTCCACTCGCCTTCCTCAGCACAGCAGGTCGCCAGAACGAAGACCAACTGTATCCACTTTATTAAACTCATTTCTTACACACACATTCACATGTCACTGGATTTTTAACTCACATTTTTGTCTTATTTATTTTTAATATTGATTTCATTTCAAGAGTTTAATTTGTGCCAGCATTTTTATTTGTTTGAATGTCTTAACAACATATTTAAGAGAATCCTAGTATAAAAATAGTTTAACTGTAATATATGTTAGTAAGAAATATTTCTAGTAATAATAAAAGTTTTTTCTATATCTCTATTCTTTTTGTTCGGGTCTAAGTTAGCTCTAAATATATACTGTCAAGTTAAAACTCATTTATGTCTGATTTAAAATAAGCCTAAATTAAAAAATGCAGAGGTTTTTAATATAATAATTAACATTAATCGGACAGTTTTGTAACATCGTAATTACTCGTACTACATCGTACTTTTTATTATCTAATTAAAAAGTTGTCAAAACTCACGTTAAAAGGGCAAAACGTTCAGTCCCATGTCAGAAGTTTGACGCTGTGTCCATTGTACAAATGAGTGGTGACTAAATTGTTTTTAAAAATTGCATAAGCTAGAAAAACTGGTCTTTGGTGTCACAATCATTGAATAGGGTATCAAAACATCTAAAATATTTTGACACAACCCATAACATAAGCTAACGTATTTGAATTGTTATGTCGTCATTTTAATTTGCCATTTTTGCTTGTCAAGGGTGTCTGTATGTGTATAAACGTAATGTTGTTAATATGTTTTAGCTTAGAAACCAGGAGTTAGAGGAAAAAACAAGATAAATAGAAAAGCGCACTTATTATAGAACTGTAGTAGTAGAATTCGGTCAAGAGCGAGAGTAGCGCAGGTGTTAAGCGTTTGACTGTAATCTACAGGTCTTGGATTGATTCCCTCCATGTACCAATTTGATTATGGATTTGCAAATTGCGTATGTATTTGTTATTTATTCGTTTTATTAAGGAAAACATCATGATGTAACCTGTACATATCTGAGTATATCTTAAGAGACGTTCGAAGTCAAACAATCCTCACTGGGACAGCGTTGTCTAAGGGTTTACCTAAGTTTGGGATGACTAGTCACATAGTTTGTTTTTTTCAAGTAACTTTATAAAATTATTGTTGTTTCAGTTAGCTTTAACGTGGCCATACGATAACAATCAATAAATTGTGTGACAAAACTGTAATACGATTTAGTTTATCTTATTTTTATTATTGAATATAAAATGGCTGAGTGCGTACCTTTCTCTTATCCGATCGGGTTATTTATTGCACAAGTTTGTTTTTGACCGCCTCACGTACTTTATTGGGCGAACCTTCCCTATCCCGAATTGCCAATTTCTATTTGATATATACTTTATTCCGTTACTTTTCCATGTTACATTTTTTTTTAGATTTCCTTTCTTTACGTGACTTTGTGACATACACCGGATATGAAAGTTTATCCTGAAATAAAAAATCTATTTTTTAGATAAAAAAATGTGCGGGGCTGTGAAATATCATTTTTTTTTGAATAAAAAATAGGTTAAAAATATCTGATTCCTTGAGCAAAATGTTTGACAAGTTTTGTTAGGTTAAAAATCAAACAACAAACTTTTGTTTGTAGTTTTATTTTTTTTTAATTCTTTTGAATTTAGAACATTTTACGCGAGGACTTTTTTTTAAACCGATTCATAATTTTGACTTATTTATTATTTAATTTTTAATTTCAACTTGTATGGTTTGTGTAGCTATAGGTAAAATTCATGTTTTGGGTTATACAAGTAACAATTTTTAATACGCAATAGTAAAGGAGTTAGCGATAAAATTACGTAGATTTAATTCCGAGATATAAATGCAATAATCGACAAACAGATACTTTGTTTTTTATGTAATGCATATCAAAAGAGATTTTAAGTAGTAATCAATTCCCGCTCTATGTTAGAAGAGAACTATGAATATTTCTGTCTACATACTTAGGTACAATAAGTTACAAAGACAAATATAAATTCCTTCTTAACATTACTTTTAACTCATAAAATAAAAAAAAACATAAGCTTAGAAAAATATGCTATGGATATAAGAAAACTACGCATGGGTCATTGGCCGAGTTCATGTTCCCATTTGTAACGATCGTGACGGTCGGGTCCGGCCTAACCTCAATACCTTGAACACTGAACACGGTGCAAGGACCCTTTTGGATGAACGACAATGCTGAATCTTTTATTACTTTTATGAATGGACGGCGAGTTGACATAACCGTCAGCGACATCTGTTGTCATATTACACTAACCCAGCGCATATAGTGCGACAAGTTTATCAGGCGCGGTGAGAATTATCTTGTAAGGGCTGTTTTATTTTTGCATATGGCTACCGGGTCAAATCAGTTTTTCGTATTACATCGATCCCTCAGACAAACCAACTATTTTATATAGGAATGTATAATACATCTTAGGGGTGAATTGGATTCGACGTTAATACAGGAACGCAAAGGAGGGAGCCGATTGCTGAATCTGCAAATACAGATCTACCGAAGCAGAGGTTTCTAATACCCGATATATCTTTTTTGTTGGCGTTTCGATACTTAGATTATGGAATTTATTTTATATAGAAGAAAAAATCCTATCCTTGTATAAACATAATAGAACTGTGTGCCGATGTTGCGTCGAATGGTACTTAGGAAATAACTAAGTATAATTAACTAACCGTGGGTTTCCAAAACTAAAATCTTCGTTTCATATATATCTAATATCTCCGTTTTGTCAAAGGTAATGACTGGGATGACGATATGTTTTATACAGAGATTTTGGTCTGAGAAAACAACTTTTAGTAATATTGTATGTCGTTACTCTATATGTTGTATAAGAAATTTCCAGTGTCTATATACATTACTATGTTATAAATTCCATTGTCAGTTAACACAAAGAGTACGCGAGTAGGCACAGATAAAAGAAAAAACTCACATGTAAAAAAGTCCACAGTAAGCAAAGATCCGAGCTGGATATCATTGAAAGGCAAGCCACTTGGATTATTTTTATTTCCGACCAAGATTTATTTTCGTCAGATTAGCATTCCTCTTATTTATGCTAATGTAATTTTAATGGTTCTGCCTTTTTCGGCTAATTTTATTTCACAGAAAACTCTCCGGGGATTTGTTTAAAATCTCGGCTTATTAAGATAAGCCCTGGTGATGATTTCGACTTGATAAAATTTTTTGAAATATCGCTTATGTTTAGGAGTTAATTGCTTCTGTTGATGTTTGTTTTTAATTAAGCTTCGATAAAAGCAACAACATAAAACAAACCGAAATTATGAATAAACTTTGTACACGAGACGAGAATCGTACGTGTTTGTTTTTTGAGTTTTTGTATACATAAATTTTGTAATTATAACATTTTGATGACGATGTTTACGTACACAAACTTAATTTTAGATGTATATTCTATTGAAATGAAATTTAAATTAGTTTTGCTACAGAACAGAAAAAAACTTGTTATGAATGAAACTTGATGAAACCAGATTTTTTTATATCAGAATCGGATCATATCAAAGCAAGTCGCGCTTTTCAAAGATTCTATTTTTTTTTCTTAGCGTAAGTAAGAATTTATATTTTTTCTTAATAGTTTAAAAAAAACTATAAACAATTAAGTAATATATTTCGTTTGTAATGAAATTGCATAATAAGTGCTGTTTTGTCTACTTTTATTGCACGCCGGGCGAAACCACATCGGTGAGTGGACGCCGTCGTCTGACCCTTAACCTATTTAATCTTCTTAACCCCACTTCACTTGAAGTACTAAATTGTGTGTTATTATGATACTTTAAGTTTAAATTCAGCAGAAATCCGGACAAGCTAAGCAGGTTAATGCTACGGTTATAACTTGGACATATATTTAGTGGTTAGGTTATGTTTGTATGTGTTATACAGGATGTTCAGAATAAAATGAAAATATGTCCATTTAACTTAGTTTACCTATATCCAAAGTAAGATAGCTCAGGAGCTGGAGATATGTTACTTTGGATAGTATAATATAAGTTGGATTTAAACGTCATGTTTTGAACACATGAAAAGTTAAGAAAAAGTCATTAAAAATAGTAATAGTGATATATTAAGCAATAATGATGCTAAAAGTATAAGTTAAGTCTGTATGTTACATTTGTTTTGGTTCTTTTAAGCCGAATCTATAAGAAATCGTTTGATAATAGTAACTATCTATCCTCTATTACTGAAGAGCGAGCATGTAAATATCTTATTAGTTTAAGCCTAACTAAGTAGTACGGTCGAAAGAAATTATTTTATTATAAACATGGACTAACACGGGGATATCTCCGTCTGTTTATTTAAGCCCCAGTATAAACCAGACTAAGTCTAGTTGCGCAGTAGTTTAAGGCAACAAGCCGCTCTTTGTCGACGTTTGTATTGGAAAATTGGAATTGAAAGTCTTCCGACCACGTTCCGGAACAAACAAGCAGCGACATATTAGCCTTTGGCAATGGACAATTGTCTTTCGGAGCGCGTCTTTAGTACGCGAATGTTAGATGCAGTTTACCATTTTATTTATTCCATTTTCAAATGTTTCATTATTGGATTTTTACTATTGTGTGATTATTATAAAACTATTGATTGCGACTCTGTACACGCGGAATTAAAAAAAATGTCTATGTGTTCTTCCACACTATGTTCTACATATGTGACAAATTTCAGCGAGATTCATAAAAGCTTTCTGGATATACCTTCTAACAAATATCTATAACCTTATGGTAATTAAATCGTGCAAATAAATCAACATTTATTCCTCATTCATTCATTGGTAGAAATATGAAGTCCTATGATGCCACATCATTACCAACCTCCTCTTGTACTAAAAGGGTATTCACTCCCTTCTTACACATATCCTCTTTCATAAAATTCATCCATAATTTCTTCAGTATTGATTTACCTTGGTTGCCATCGACATTCAATCTTATTATTTGTTATTTATGTGATTATGATCTTTCCGCGTATGTCCCCATCACGCTAACCTTTGGCTTAAGTAATATGTTTCTTCTTCTAATTTTTAGAATGAACTCTACGTTTTTTATTGCCAAGCGTGCCTCCGTATACGTGGGAGTATTAAGTGATTCAAACTTTCTTGAGACATTATAGTAAACTTATATAAAAACGGCTAAAACACTCACGTATATCCGTCTGGTGGCGGCACCGACTAGTTCGGCATCGGAGGCCCTTTATTAGAGTAAGTGGAAATGGTTTTATTTCTGGTATTATGCTGTAGTGAGCGACAGGCCTCGACCGCGAAATAATACCGGTCCCACTCACCCTGATGTAGGGCCCCCGATGGGCTTGAAACTAGTCGGTGCTGCCACCGGTCAAATAAAAGTGAGTGTTTTAGCCGTTTTTATATAAGTGGGAGTATGCATGTAACGTTATTTTATTTTTCTTTTATTTTGTTTTACAAACGATGGTAAACGGTTGCGACATAAAACATACTTCCTTCGTAACATAAAACGCTACTCGTATTTTTCTGAACGATCTCAAAGGGTATAAAAGTTGCTAAATTAGGCGCCCAAAAGTTACAGCCACTTCTATCTCTGTTTATAAAACACTGACACATTTGATGCAAAGTTAAAATTGTGTTTTAATGTTGCCCGAAAATATTCAGTTTGGAAATTTTGAACATTACAAAATTAATACTTTAATTATATGGTAATTTGGGACCATCCTTGCATATTAAAGTTTTATTTAAATTGAACAATTAATTTATACGAAAGCGTCGAAAATTTTTAGAAATATGTTATACTTAATTGGAAACGATTAAACTTAACAACATCATGTATTGAATTATAAAAGGTGTATTCTTAGAAATTAAATTTACACGGATTAAGGTTTAAAAGGTAACACACATTATTATAAATTACATAATTATAATTATATTACTTAACCATATTAAAATATGTGTAAAAATAGCAATAAGATAGTATAATACGTATAGGACTTCGGAACCACACTATCAAAACGCGAAACTAATTCCACTTCAGACCTGTCTTCTGTGTGGTCGTTGTATTACCGGACAACCCAACCAATTCAATGCAACAGAAGCTTCTGCTTGCGTTTACCACTTTTAAAGTAAGGTGTATTATTTATTTTAAACTAGCTATCGGCCGCGACTCCGTCCGCGCGGGAATAAAAAAAGGGTTTCTAAAGGTTTTCCCGGCAATTATTCGATTTTTTCTTCCCTTTAAACCTTTCCTAGACCTTTTTTTTTTTTATATCAAAAGGTGGCAAACGAGCGTGCGGCCACCTGAAATCACTGAAATAGTGAAGTGACCGTTGCCCATAGACATACGCAATTGCATATGCGTTGCCTACCTTTAATCGACGGAGGAGAGGATGCACACAAAGAAAATATCTTCCATTTCCATGCATCCTCTCATCCGGAAAGTCTACTTTCACTTCCCATCCTTGCCTTATAAAGAAAAGGATGGGAAGGGAAAGAGGACTAAATTAGGCCTCCGGGACGCACACTCATCAGACGAAACGCGGAATTGCATCCACTTCACGCCTGTCTTCTGTGTGGTCGTGGTATTTCACCGGGCGAGCCGGGCCGATTCGTGCGAAGATGTTAAAGCGGGCTCTACCACTGTTGACCTCCGCGGACATTTCAAGACCAAGGTAAGATAAATCCGTTCCGCCGTTCTCGAGTTTTAGCGAGACAAACGAACAGTAATTGATATTTATATATATGTATATATAGATTACATAATAAATTTCATTATATTATTAAACTCCATTAAAGTATGAAATACTAATACTAGAGTACTAGAAGTGCTACAATTTAATTATTCTGTGAAATACGTTAGGAGTTAATATTGGCGGTCTTGTCGATATTAAGGCCACGTAAAGTGCCTCATCAAAGTGCTAACCAAACACATGTCGTATATTTTTCGTCTTTTTCCTCGTTTAGTAGTGAATTTGCCTCAAGTATACGTTTGTAATATACTTTTTAAGTCAAAACTATATTTTGAATAATTTATGGTCCCATAATAGATATTATAGTGTTTCACTGACTGATTTTCAATTTCGTTAATAATATCACTGGGCATTAGAAAGTTCTACCAAATAATTTGGTTTAAATTCATATTAATTTAACAAATGAGCTCAAAGCTCGTCAAACGTCCAACCGTGGGTTTCTGAGACCAAATTCTCTGTTTAAAACATATTATCACTCTTCAGTTCTTGGAGTTCACAGTTTATTGTCAGTTTTAAATTTCCCTAGTACGATTGTAAACCGTCGAAGTTCACAATCTGTCTGTGGCACAGGAAACGGTGGTTTTCATATTACATCGCTGTATTACGTAAAACATGTACATTTAGTTGCAATAAACCTGTAGTTTGGAGTTGATTTACTTCCACCCTAGGCGATCGTATATCAAATGAAGTTGTGACGTACTAATATAGATAATTTAAGAATAAATATAACAAACTACTGGTCGACCGCGACTCCGTTCGCACGTAATTTAAAAAAGACATAATTTGTAGCATGTATTCTTCCAGACTATGTTTTATGTATGCCAAATTTCATCGAGATCCATTGAGGCGTTCTGGAGATACCTTCAAACATCCATCCATCCATCCATCTAAACATTCGCATTTATAATATTAATAATCCTTGATGACCATTAAATGTACCTAAGTGTGGAAGTATTATTGAATTTACTTTATAAAATATAGATGTTTTAGTAAATATTTTTGCCGTTTAATTAAAAACTTTGTACTTAATGAGGAAATATTGTAAGCAAAGCAATTAAACAAAGTTCGTTGAATCGTTTTCAAAGTGTTCTTTTGTCTTTGGAAAAGGTTTCGATCATAAAATCTACTAATCCAACCTATAGTTAGGTTTTGTGATCTGTATCTTTACTGCGTGTTAACCCTTAATACGATGGTGTTCAGTGTGACAAACAACTAATTAAAAAAATCTACTGAACTAGTTTAGAGAAAATTACGTAAGTATGACTTTACTAAAGTACCCAGTTTTTTTGCTACATAAATACGTCAAATTAAAGGTTAAAATAACGTAAAAAATGTAATAAAAAGATAATAAAAGAAAGAAATAAAAATAAGCTTATACTTTATTGCTTTAAATTAAATTTTAATGAATAAAAATTTAATATTATGAATTTCTTCATTTCAAAGAGTCTTAATTTTGTTTATAAAATATTGATAAGTAATAAGTGAATTATAATAATTAATATAGTAGACATTTGATTCTAGAGTTTTTAAGATGTACCGTAAGTTTTTATATATAACTAGCGGTTACCTGCGACTCCGTCCGCGCGGAATTTAGAAATAAAAATTATTAAAAAAATTATTATTATTATAGTAAGATTTCTTAACTAAATACCGTGAAGCTCTTTTAAAATATCGTTTCAAACTGATGACAAGATATGAGAATGGAATACATCTGTAGATATGCGTACAGGTGACTATTACTAAGGTAAACTGCACCCTGACAGCCACCCCTCCGGTAGCACCCCTCCTATTGTCTACTCGTATGACACTTACACGAGAGGAGACGGATAATGAATTTGATCATGCCAACACCACGTGACTCTCGCGTATAAATAATTCAAACATTTCCTGTACCTTTACAGATAATCTTTTTTAAGTATACAGCATGTTCCAAAATTCAACAATAAGCGGGTTATGGCGTATAGACAGGTCGATAACTATATGGGGAAAAATACTATTATAAAACAATCTAACTCTTTGTGATTAAAAGCTACATTAACTTTTTTAACTTTTCGAAATTAATACCCTCCACCATATGATACATGAAAAAAAAATTGCAGGAATATCTTATTATTTGTAGTCACAGTGTCTAATCTTATGGTGTACGATATCAAATTATAAGAAAAGTTACAAAAGTTATTGTAACTTTGAAACAAAAAGAGTTGAATTTCTTTTAGTATTTTTCCCCATGTAGTTACCGACCTGGCTATAAACCATCACTGGCTTATTGTTGAATTTTGGGACACGCTGTATAAAAATGTTTCAATATAAACCACCTGGGATTTTTTTAGGGTAAAAAAACGAACTACGGACCGATTAAAACTTGAATAGGTTATGAGATCAAATAAAATAAAAAATAAGCCGTATATTACAAAAAAAATCCTATCTTATTTCCACTACCAATAAACTCCTATAAAAACATATTCAAAAGCAATAGTAATGTCATCAACTACCTGTGCCTTTAACTTTACATTAATGTAGTTAATTAAATGAATAAAGATCTAAAATATCTAACTATAGCCTTCCTTAGGTATATATTCACGGTTAAACAAACTGCATTTATCTAGCAAAAAAATTGTCGGAGTTTTCATCTGTCTCTATTGTAGAGATAAGAAACTATAAGTTGATGTTTCTCTCTATCTTGGATCCAGGCTTCTTTGATATCCTTAGATGGATATTGGATTCAAAATCCAATAGTTATTTTACTTTTTACTTACTTGTTTAACATCCGATTAGATATTCAGTTAAATATTTCACGAATTTTCTTTACTCTACCTTTTTATTAAGTTTCTGCTTATTTATTCACGAACTCGGATCGTTTGTCATTAAAATTATATATTAAATTTTAATATAAGCCAATGGTTTAAAATAATCACCTAGATTTTATTTTATTCAATTCCAAATAAACAGAATATATTTTAGTAAAACAATTTTCTAATTCACTTAGATTGCAATAATTAAAAGTAAAATTCAAACACTTAAAGGTAAATTATTTAGCATAAAATCTTATTAATATAATTAATTTAATGTAACACTGTTCACAGCAATTATAATGCGGGTTAATTTATTTAATCTGTGGCTTTACGCGCGCGTTGACCCTAGAACTAGGACTGCGTGGGTCACGTCCAACCGGGACGAACGGCTGCCGAGCACTGATTCGGCATTGGACGTTGTGTTTTGCAAAGGTGAGGAATTCGGCAGCTCCCGCCTCCCTTCGGCATCCTTCGGATAATTCATCTTGATTCCATCGAAAGGAAATAATTTGATTTTTATAAAAAAGTGAAGCCTAAGTTATTGTTGCTCCAAAATTCGTTATATGAATTTATAAGTACTTGATCACGTCTGGATTACTAATAGGAACGTTTTTATTCAAGTTTTTTAAGTATATTAGGTTGGAAAGTTTTTTTATACTGATTGTAACCTTAAAGATTTATAAGGAGTTTGTATGGTAGAGAACATTTACGCGGAAGGACAAAGTTGTTCAAGGTCAAATTACATTTTTTTTCGGGTTGGCTAAGGTACCCATGTTTCAGGTCCGAAGTTCGTTGCCGAGTTTATTTAGCTTAGTTCAATTGCCAAACATTCGTTCCAATAACGTGTACAACGAAGTACCACATCCCTTGATCGAAAATACGATGATTTAACCCAACTTATTTCTATCAAAAGTTACTTAGTTTGGACGTTAGAGGGCAATTTTTTTACCTTTGTTCAAGTAACTCAAAAAGTATTACATAAATACTAGCGGACCCGACAGACGTTGTCTGACAATTTGACACTGCGATGGTAGCGCCGTCTGTCGGATCCAATGTAAAACATTCCAAAATCAACAACTACTAATAAATTAAAAATTAATTAAAAAAGCATTGTCCAGCGGACAAAATTGTGAATCTAAACCATTCCCAGATCCCCTTGAACACACACAAAAAATTTCATCAAAATCGGTCCAGTCGTTTGAGAGAAGTTCAGTGACATACACACTCACAGAAGAATTATATATATAAAGATATTCGATAATATTCTATCTCACGATTCATAAAAACGATTCGTCCAATTAGATAAACCCAAAACCTTAATATTTCCAAATAAATAGCAGCAATAAATGTTAGAACAATATTTAAGGGCAGTCAAATATGTATATACATTTGTTCTGCGAAAAGAGCAAACGGAAAACACTACAGTTCGTTTAACACGTCTTGACTGTCGCGTCTCATTCCATATTCCTTAAGTAGAGCCTGTTGAGAAAACAAAGATATCCTCACTTTAACTTTGCTCTTAAGGCACAAATTATATTATTGTAACTATTACTTAAGTTACTGCAAGTGTTTTCTCAACTTACGTATGCCTTTTAAGAATTTGGTTACACTGAATACTTGTCAGTATTCATCTTTTAAATTAAAGATTTCTAACACGATTATATGAAACTAGCGGTCGTTCCCGACTCCGTCCGCGCGGTATTAAAATAAACAATTAGTAGCCTATGAGAGATCCGTTCAGTTCAGTCCGGAGATACCTTCAAACATTCATCCATCATTTAAATATTCACATTATAATATTAGAAAGATAAGATAAGATTTGCTATTTCTTACAAACGTTTCAACTTAATTTAGACTTGTGTTAGAATATGGTTCATAACAATAGTCAAATGGATTCGAACCAACTACCCGTGGTGAGATGTCTATATCCTGTACCATTACACTTTAAGCGTCGTGTTTCGGAGATATTTATGTGACCTTTAGTAATTTTCAGGTGGCCGCTCGCTCGTTTGCTATCTTATATATAAAAAAAAAACCTAAACAGCTGGACTGATTTTGCCTTGTCAAAGGACAAAGTCGTTCTGATTTGTTAGTTTTAAATTAACAAACTTAATTTACATTAATTTTGAAGTGATGTCTTCTTTTATTATTATTTAGTATTAAATTCGCCCCAATATTTAAATAATTAATTAGCAACTGCCTACAAATTGAAATTAAATTTCACTATTAATTGAAGATATCACATTTAGAATTCCGTTAAATGTTACAAAATAATATTCAGGTTACATATTAAACTTAAAACGATAGTCTGTGGCAATCGATTTTTCAGTCCACAGACTTCTTTATAGGTTGGTTATGAACGATCTTGAGAAAACTTGAAGCTGTTCAGATAGCTTAGTGATACAGCACGGAACAGCGAGACACTAAGTTTTTTATTATTTTTTTTAAAGTTTAATAAGTGCGGTCATTGCTGCACTAATAATTCTATCCATATAACTTTTATTAACCTAGTGCTCGAGTCTGCCCATGCGACTCATCGAGCGTGGAGTGGCATACGTTGGGACAACAATGTCATTACCAATTCACGATTGACCACCTACGCAACGCTTAATGCCTTTTTATAACCCCTATATTTTCAAAAACCTAGTAAATTCCCTACCCTACGTTAAAAATAAATGCAAAAAAGAAATGTCATAACAAGAAAAAAATGAGTGTTCGAATATAAAAATAGAATAATAGAGATTAGTAGACAGAAATAAGAAGTCTGTTCCTGATTGTCTGAGGATATTTAAGCTTGCAAAAATCGTAGTTACTTTTTACCCAACTGACCCAAAAGGACGGTAATATATTCGTATGTGTGTATAAAATTTACATTCTATTATAACATCCTGTAGGATATACAGGTTGATTAAGATTTCATAACATGGGTTTTTCTTAGAGATATAATATTAAGTATGGGTAAAATATCTAGTATAGATAGTAAGGTAAAACAACAGTTATGTCCTTATATATAATTAACAATAAATTCATTAAAAAATAGAAATTATTTCCTACCAGTGCTGTCTAGTTAACTAAAAATTTACGTGGAACATCGGAAACTAAAAGCTCAGCCTACAGCTACATATGACGTATCTCTACATTACTCTGTGATACCGTACTGTCACTCTCATAATTTCCTCCGGGCCGTATTGACCCGGATCGTATAAAACAAGATCGCAATAATCTCTGAGTGCGTACTCACTTGAGTGGTGTTTGCACCTGAACTTTGAAACGACAACGTTAAATAAATAGAATTAATATTTAAAGGTAAAAGTGATTGATCGAAAATACAAAACAACTTCAATAAATTTAACAGTTACATAGATAGATAACATTCTATTTCTCATCTTTAAATAGGTACAGTCAACTGAATAAATTAAAAGTTTGATTTAATTTCATCCTATCGTTCCGTTACCTACTCCAGTATTAGACTGACGACTCACAATTCTATGAAAATATTTCGTTCAGTTTACTATAGTTTTCATCTTACAAATGCTACGCAATCCCTCTAAAGGCAACACTAGGTAATAATATTGTGTTGGGGTTCGCATTTTAGGTCGAATCATCGATAATCATTATCAGAAGGCGGGTTTAAGAGCCATCCCGCTCCCAGCGGGAACTTTATGAAGGTCTCGCTCAGACGCGTTCGATAACTATGCTAATGTTATTTGTTCTAACAACTTTCAAAGCAATTTCATGTTCTTAAATAATAAAAACTAAAGAATACCTTGAAATTTTTTTTTCAAAAATTTTACACTTTTAAACGTTGTTTTATAAACTAAACACGTATTTCATATTGTAAGACAACTAAAAATAAACTGGGTTGTGTAAAGATAAGTTTGTTATTTGTAATAACAAAGTATAGATGATTTATTATGCAATTTCAATATGCTGTTAGTGATATCTCGATATCGTACTCGTTTTTTTAATATCATAAGATGGCAAAAGAGTGAGCGGCTACCTTAACTCGCTGAAATAGCAAAGCGACCGTTGACCATAGATGCATACGCAATTGCATATGCATTGCTTACCTTAAATCAACGGAGGAGAGAATGCACAGAAAGATAATATCCTCCCTTCACATGCATCCTCTCATCCGGAAAGTCCACTTCCACTTCCCATGCTTTTCTTATAAGAAAAAGGAAGGGAAGGGAAAGAGGACTAAAATTAGGCCTCCGGGACGCACACTCATCAGACGAAACGCGGAATTGCTTCCACTTCATGTCTGTCTTCTGTGTGGTCGTGGTATTTCACCGGGCGAGCCGGGACAATTCGTGCGAAGATGTTAAAGCGGGCTCTACCACTGTTAATTGCTAATTATATTTTATAAAATTGTGAATTTATAATAAATTCATTTTCACTTTTAATACAAATTTAGGAAATCGAAATAATTTATTTCCAAATATAAATGTTTTAATTCGGAAACATCGGGCGTTTCTTTGATTGTAACAAATCGATGTTGGGCTCAATCCTTTCCATTGCTATTCTTTAATACTGAGAAAATATTATTAATGAGATTCTGTCATCGCATTCAAAGTTTCCGTTTCAATAACTTCTTTAATAAATCTATTTACTGTACCATTGTCTCTTAGTATAAGTTACCGGGAAATATGATGGGAAAATTAATTCATTTAAAGGTTTTCATTAAAATATTATTCGCAATTCAAAATAATTTTAATCTATTTTTCAATAAATCTATATATATAAAAGAAAGTCATGTTCGTTACACTATATATAACTCAAAAACGGCTTTACCGATATGGTTGAAAATTGGTGAGGAGGTAGCTTAGAGCCAGGAGACGTACATAGGATAATATTTCTTCTTTTTTTCGAATTAATGCCTTGAAGAGCTGCTTTTTATTTAACTTATCTATTTATTCAGTTTTTTTATATATCCACGCGAACGGAGTAGCAGCCGATAGGCGATGTAACAAATAAACTCAAAAATCACTGGACTAATTTCAAAAATTCTTCCGCCTTTAAACAGCTACATTATAACTGAGTAACATAGGAACTATTAGTTTAAAGGACCTAAA